TTCCTAAGATTCCTATAGACGTGCGAACACACACACACACACACACATGTGTACGTGACGTTGACAAGAAATCAAACTCATCAAGTTCTGAAGTAAAAAACCATTGTTTTCGTCTTTAATATTTATCTTGTTACCTTTGGCATTTACAGTAATGAGCTTTGACTTTTCCACACCTCCGTCGAACTTGATGATGCACAAGACAGTTCAAGAATGTCTCAAGATTTCCGAAAAGTAGAAGACATTCCATATTGTATATGTATTTATGTATGTACACTGTGTACCGTATGTTTATAAATGTGTGCGTATAGGTACTATAAGCTTAAACAATTGGATTTCAAAGTACCATTACTCATCTTAATCTAATAATTCTTAAGTGCATATGAAGTAAGTATATATGTATGTACATATGTATATGCGTATGTATTTATATGCAGGCCAAAAATGTACGCTAACATTTACAGGTGGATTATCTCATTTTCTAACGAATTGCTCAAAACATATACACAATTACAATTCTGTAAGCGATTTTAGTTGATTAGCGGCCCCACTGCACACCGGGGCGTATGAGCGACGTGCCCTCACTCGTTCGTTATCAGATAAAGTGAAGCAATGATTTTACGTACATATTTACAAATGTATGTAATTTGACTCTTTATTTATGTGAATGTATCCCTACAAGACATTGCTGAGCACTTTAGGCAAAAATTCTCACACATTTACACTTTTGTTTTTGTAGTACGGCATAAATGAGTAGTTTGACTATTAGTACTGAGGACTTTCTGATGACAACATTGAGGGGAAAGTACTCAAATTTTTCCCATGGCCTGAACGAAAATGAGGACTTTGATAAGCACTTTTGTGATTAGGAGTAATGATAATATGAGTACTCATATGATACTCAGCTGTCTTGTAGGGATGTATATGCATGACTCGAATACACTGCTACGTTCGTGACCATTCTGCCTACTAGGGTAAAATAATGTGTGTAAGTACATACATATGTACGTATTTGTTATAAATTTAAGCATCCTCTGTTATGCTTCAATTCGTATGGAAATTTTTCAATTTACAATTTCTGCTATGGCTATTGGCGTTTTATCTGCTCATTGGCATTGCACTCATAATCGCTATACAAACATAATTACATATGCAGCGAAATGTTGTGCATTCCCATTACACAACAGTAGGCATCATCGGCGGCAATGGAAGCGACAATGCCGCAACCACAACTACCTGGGCGGTAGGGTTACGCCAAATTTAAAGAGCAGCTCACACTCTGATTTTCGGCAGCATGTGTGTATAAAAACTTGCACATACGTACGTACATACCTACATATATACATGCATATATGCATATTTATATGAAAAAACAACCCAAAATGTATTGTAACATCAGCAGTCGGAGCCTCCAAAAACATCAGTTATCTTAGTCTTATATATACATATGTATGTACATACATTATTATACATGCGTGTATGTACATATGTATGAGCCAATCATGTGTATTTTTGTAAAGACTTATGCAAATGCAATGGTATTATTAACCGCCAACAGCTTTTCACTTTAACTGAAATTTATTTATATGTCCATTCAGACGCCATGGTTTTCAACTTTACTTTATATCATAACAAATAATAAATTGCAGGAATAATTCGTATGTACATTCTAAGAGATGCAACATTTATTAAACTAAATACTAAATACAAATTTTAAGTTTCATTCATATTATAATTTTTTCATTATGTTTATTATGCTTACAATTCGTTTAATCTCATTTCGCAGAATGATTATTTGCTGGAGAAACGAAACAAACCATCATTGTCAATTGTGAATCCGCTAGACGTGCTGCGGAAACGGTTGTTGCTGGAAATGGCTCGCAGGCAAATGAAAGAAAACACGAGACAGGTGAGCGAAGAGTTAGAAGCTTCAGTAAAAAAAAAAAATTTGCATAGCATAACTAAAATACCAGAAACTAGTTCTTTCGGCGAAATATTTCAAAGCGGCGAATTTTTCAACAAGTTCTCTTTTATCCTAGTGGAATTGTTTAAATTATAAAATTTTTGCATCAACTTTAGTTTGTAACTAAATTTTTCCATTAGGGGAAATTGAATTTACTTGTTATCACTTAATAATAGATAGACATAAGATATAAACAGAGTAAGCACTGCGACCAGCAATAGTGCATCTGTCCCTAAAACTCTACACATTTTAGAATAGATACCGATGGTACCTCCTTACTCCTTACGTGCTATTCACTTGGCCATAGATGTCATTTGCACCTCCCCCATTTCCCTGACACGGTTCCTGGAAAGGCGTAATGATGTCTCTTTGGCGGACCAGATCCCCAGCTGTGCAAGTGGTATCTTAGCCTACAAAACCCCATCAGAAAATCTGAGTAATTGTAAGCCTCTCCTTGGGAAGGTTAATGAGTAGCCTGTATCTCTTTAGATTGCACCCTACTAGCGGGCTCTTAGCTTGGCGAAGACCATGGTCGAGTAATTTTTCATTCTTGGCGTTCCGAAAATATGGTTTAAACTTTTCACTTATCGGTCACGGTCGGTGACACAAAAAAAACACGAAAAATTTAAAGTGTATGATGGTGAATTTTGTAAAATCGCAGCAAATTTTATCGCAACAAATACCAACACTTCATTGTGCATAGTATTTAAATTTAAGAATAATGCAAATACATTTACGTGCACATATGTATGTATGTATGTAACTACCCTACGTACGAGTATGTACACATGTACTTTGTTCCTGCTTTGTGTCCTTTGCCACCAATGGCAATACATCAGACACACTCTACGAGTCGCATGATAAATTGATTTGTCAACCCATCATAAATGTCATGTTGCATTTGCTTTGAGAAAAGTGTTGAAGTACATACATACAACATATGTATATACATATGTACATACATATGTGATATTTAATACATGAAAATTGAATACAAATACGAGAATATATGAGGGCATGAGAGCCAGAGGAGCCTATCTATAAATACATTTCTTTGAATAATATGGGAATAAAAACGGGCTTTTACCGAAGTCTTCACTGCGTCTATTTACTGTTTATGTAAGAGAGGCTACCTAATATAGTAAAAGAAAACTAAAAGAGCGTGCCTCGGGTTATTACCGTTTCGATTCTGTGTACTAAGGCATTCTAAGCTGTACCTCAATTTGTTTTGAAATATCAGTTAGGCCACTCTGGCTCCTAAGGCCTCATATGTACGTAGATGTGTGTAGATACATATGTATATAGGTACAGATACATACGTACATACATAGTTGGCGAAAAGGTAAAGTACTTTGTTGAATCGCGCGAATAACATAAATAAGAAGACGCCACAGGTGCCTTTGGCTATAACAAAAGAAACAACATGGCGTACCAGCAAATTATGATTTCACTCGATAAAACTTTTCCAGATATGTATTTATTAGCCATCAATGTTTACAACCCTGATTGATGGATAAGCGGCGTACTTTCTTTTGATCCCAAAAGTTTTTCTTGATTGCATTTAAAGAGCTTGATTTCTTTCGTTGAGTCTGCTTTGATGCAAGTTTATAGACATTTCGTGAAACCGTGAAATATAATTAACAAAAACAATTTCCACGACAATGCGAAATTTCACCTGTATCCGTTGTTTGCCCTTTGTGCTACCTGTGCTTTCTCAATAATCTTAAATTCAATTAACGCAATAGTATTGGTCTCTCAGTCAATGTTATCCACTTTTCCGTCCATTAAATACAATTTTAAAATGCACACAAATTTCCCCAGAGCGTTCAAGTTTCTCATGTAATTGTACTTTAATTTGGTCACACTACTCCAACAGGTGGAATTGAATCGTGCCATACTGAAGAATGTGGGCAAACGCATGCAACCAGCGCCAATACAACAACTATGGGAATACCCGCTCATCCGCTCGCCGTACCGACAGCAAACATACACATACTACACACCACATCAATGGCAACTGCAACTGCAGCAGCTGCTGCAGCCACGCCGTTACGTCAATCAATTGGAGTACGCACCCGACGTGTCCCTCTTTGATTACCCACAACGACCGGCATACATGTACGATAGCATCCTGGCAGCATCTGCCCTGGCCGGGGTTGAGAGCGAAAGCGAAGCTGAGGCAGCCCGACGCACGCAATTCAACATCAACGCGCTTGAAGAAGGAGACGCCTCCAAAGTCAATGGAAATGAAATGATCAACGAAACAGCAAATGACAACAGAAACTCAAACAGCGCCAGCGACGACAGGAATGAGGCCTCTACAAGACGAACTCTTGGCAATGAAGCAGCCAGCGTCAGCAACGTCGAAACTATAGGCAGCAGTGGTGTGCTAGCCAAAAACATGCCCGCCGATGAGGTGGAAGGAAGCGACAACAACGCAGACTATCAGCTACGCTACTTTTACGGTCTGCGTAAGAAGCACCGCAACATGAAAAAGTAAACTCCCAACAGATACCTCCAAAACACCAAAAAACACCCACTGACACTCCTGAAGACCATCGAAATTATTTGAACCAGTCAGTCCAAGCATCTTTCGGGGAACACCAAATAATTTAAAAATACGCATACTCGTGCCCGTACAAACCGGTTATTGCAAAGCTTTGCTCTGTTTGGCTTTGTTTTAACTTGCAAAAGTGCTAAATGTGCAATTGGTTTTAACAGTTACCTGCATACATACATACATAGCTACCCAGTAAAAAATAATCTAAGTTTTATTCATATGTATTTTACATAAAAGTGGAGTGATTCCTTTATTATGTATAATAATGCATTAATTGTTGTTTACCAATAATTGCATACAACTACAATATCCAAGTACATGCAAATGTAATTAAAAAAAATACATACATATGTACATGTAAATATGTATTTAAAAATAAATAAATTGATAAATATAATTTTTAATGACTGAGTGAAAAAACTAATAGAACATACCTTGAAAATATAACTACGCAGACATTGAACGTTGAAGAGGACCAGGCAAATATAGAAAAGTGCATTATTGGTCGCATTGCCCACTAAACAAACAGAAAATTTTATTTTTGCTGTTTAGTGGAAGGAGAAATTAAATTGGATGCAAGTGAAAGTGATCACTGCCTCAGTAGAAGGGATACACTGAACAAACGATGCATCCTAGAATTCATGTCTTACAAAAGTAAAAGTTCTTAGGTGTAAAAGGCATCAGCAACTTTCGAAGCTCAAAAGAGAAAATCGCGATGGCAGGACTTGCCCATCATGTCAATGACAAAACAGCGAATTAGAAGCAAAAACTTGTCTGAATATTTGTCGACACTTGTATGCGTGTAGGTATAGATATTCATTTCATTCTGCAGATCGAATTTCTTCAAGTCATTTCCATTACTTAAAAAGAGAAAAACTGAATCAACAGGGTAAAGACGCGTACAAATACAGTTAAAACTGGTTAATCCGACTGCTCCATAATCCAAAAAATCGAGTTGATAGATGAGTAGGCGCTGTAACCGCCTAAGCGATTTTGGCCGAGGAGTCCAACGTAGAATTACACGATGTAATAATGTCAAGAAAATGCCACAAACCGATTAAGTGGCCGAGCACAGACCGTACGTCTGGACGAATAATTTTCAAAACTGGGTTTAAAACTACCCAAAACAATTCCTGGAATCTTCAGTTTATTCATAAAAAACATTCTTACATGACTACGTGGACTTAAATTTTTAAAGCATTCTATGCTTATAAATTAAAAGCAGTTCAGTAAGAGTATGGTAAAAATTTTATGTATTTTTCCAGTTCTACGACATTTGGATTTGGGCGTGCTACAGCGCACGTGATATATTCAAACAAACCGATAGTCGGAATGTTTCGATAATCAGAACCATGTCTACAATTTTTAGTTCGGATTCTAGAGTTTGGACTGTATCCGTACATCGAAACATGAGTCGGATGCATGGAAACTTAGTGTTCTAGGCTAGCTTAACCCCTAATTACTCACACGACTCACACAACTGGTCGCATGGGGTCTTCAGCGACCCCAACTTGTTAGGCCGAATACAAAGCTTCGATATTATGAAATCAAATACTAAAACAAATATTTATTCCTAAAATACTTAAATCGCGCTATTGCATATGGAAAAAAAAACAAAACTAAAACTTAATCTTTTGGAACTAAAAACCAACCAACGCGAGTGTTTTTTTTTACGAACGAAGTTGGGTTAACCCCATGAGAGTGATTAAGGGTTAAGAGCACAAAAATCTTGTACATAATTATAATTGGAAACTAAATAGAATGAGTTTTTTATTGCCAGCATTTACATA